ATTTATTTATTTATTTATTTATTTATTTATTTATTTATTTACCTATTATTTATTTATTTATTTATTTATTCATTTATTTACCTATTATTTATTTATTTATTTATTGATTGATTTACCTATTATTTATTTATTTATTTATTTACCTATTATTTATTTATTTATTTACCTATTATTTATTTATTTATTTATTTATTTACCTATTATTTATTTATTTACCTATTATTTATTTATTTACCTATTATTTATTTATTTATTTATTTATTTATTTATTTATTTATTTATTTATTTATTTTTTTATTTATTTATTTATTTATTTATTTATTTATTTATTTATTTATTACTCACCTGGGCTATCTAGCGATATACTTCTACCTTTCATTATTGACCTTCGAGCGTCTTGCGGTCTAACAACACTAAGTGAAGAATGAAAACAGTGTTTTGAGGTACGGTCTTGTGTTTGCTATTGTATTCAGAAATATACAGTGGCAGCGGCTGAGAGAGGGCGATTTCACTGAGATTTGCATGTCATCGACAAATAAACATAGGTGGTTGCTGATCGACAGATGATCGACACCGTGATTGGTCTGTTTAATGTGTGAACTGAATGAAATTGACACACACATGAAGTAAGTGATACGTGGTAGTAAAAGTGATGGGATCTCTTTTCGTTGTTTTTAATTGTTCTCTGAAATGTGTATTATTGTTCATGTAATGATTCTGCCAATAATCGCAATAGGGAATCCTTGCAATGGGAGCAACTGGTCAGAATAATGAGTCGGTAAAAAATTTATTCAGCTGGGATAGTTACATTCCACTAAGAACAGTTAATACAACAGCTGTAAAACATTAAATGATAATAAAATGAATAAAACCACACACAGAAATAATGTTAATTCACACAAGCAAGCATGGCGTAATTTAAGTTCTGCATTGCAAATAATGTATTGTTCGCACTTTTTTTTCTCTTTTGCTTTTTTGTGTGGAAGATAATTCAATAAAATTGAAGCTAAAATAAAACATTATTTGTTGTGTTATGAACTATTTTATATCTTTCAACAAAAATGCTTATCCCAGTGTTTTCATGATATGAAGCCGAATTTATTCGAGTTCTGTTGCTCACCTAGTATGCGTAGACTAAAATAATTCTCTGAATATACCTTCACCTAATTAGTGTGCATGATAAACACAATCACATAATTTGAATCTAAAAGAAGGTGTGTTTATGCAATATAATCGAACTCGCAATTCTCCTCAATAACTGTGCACGTTCACCAACAATCGATAGCAAATACCATTTGTACTATAATCACTTTGGGACGGTGGTCTCCTCGCGTCAGGTTATATAGTGACAGCCACTTAGGCTTGAGCACATTTCCGTTCATGTACCTTTACATAACGACAATTTGCAACGCTTCGGGCCACAAAGATGTCACAGTTCAGGCTGGTGAATAATAATAAATATATCGACCACTGCCAGCATCGGATTCTTATAGCTAGATAACATTGATCTGAAAAGTGAAAAGTTGTTATGTTGTCAAAAATCATCTATAGGAGACGGGCGGTTTTTGGTACCTGGATGTCGAAGCTACGGACAATGTTGACGCCACGGAAGATCTTCTCCCGACGCTCTTTATGTCGCTATCAGTATCGTAATCACTTTGACTGCTTCGATACGCTCGATCTCTCTGTTTCGCCCCCTCTTGTGACGGTCCGGATAAACTCTTTGCACATTTGATCGTCTCGTATACAAAGTCAAGCTCCTTCTGTGAGGCTGAATCTACAATCAATACAGACAGGATATCAGCAATCTGTTATTTAGACAAATAATGGTATTAAAGAGGGTGGTCGTCACGCTGCGCATGTGCGACATTTATGTTGATAAACATTGATTTACCTACAATTCAATGCGCTCTTCTAATGGAAATCACGAGTAGAGGTTTGACCTGGGCATGACTTGCTCTAATTACCGCCGGTGACTACTTTGATACCTTCCAATCACCTAAAAAATACCTTATTAAAGCTTGGTATCGTCCTAGTCTGTACTCGTTGATCTGCGCAACAGTCAAAGTCGCCATCTTTGTTTATATGAGACCCGTAAATCTCGCGCATGCGTAGCGCGACGAATACCTCCCTTTAAGCAATGAGTTGATACCAATATACACATGCTAATAAAGTTGTATTCAGTATTCTCACCTGACGCTTCACTATCAGTTTGATCTTTTGTCGCTCCATGCAAGAATATATCAGTGAGGCTTCGTTGGCGTCTCAGAAGATTTTTCTTAGTAAACTAGAAAAAAAAATACGGTGTTAAAGAATTTTATGTTTACATTAGAGAAACTTTACATAGAGGATAGAAATGGTACTTCTAGTAGCGCTGTATATCGTGCAGAATTGCGGCCAAATTAAACCGCAAACTGATTACTGATAAACATTGTCAGTTAGCACTAACCTGCGACAAAGCCGTAAAACTATTCTGTCTGCTGAGTCGCCTTTTGCCCTGAAAAGTGTAAGATACGGACACGTTACAACCTTACATAATGAAGTTGATAAATTATAACTTTTTTAACAATCACAGCTCACAATTTTCAAGCATTTGCAACATCAAATTGGTTCATACAATGTATCCTAAAATATAATAAATATATACATGTTTTCACAATATATTATTCTGTGTATTGAGTGGGGGTGTATAAACTATCAAACTATCCTCACCTCCATTTTCTTGCAGGGAGCAACGTGACTTTGACATACATGGTGGACCGCTATCTTACAGTTGACGCATTTGAATCCCTGTTTGGTGGTACCTAAGAATTGAAAAAAAACAAAACATTAAACTAGTGTACACTCAACTCTTGTCACAAATGAGATTTCTCGAGAAAAAGTGTTTATTTATTAATGAAATATCTTTGAAAAGAGAATGTAATTAGGAAAAATGAAAAGTAATGTAACCTTATGCAAGATACCGATACCAAACAAAAAAACAATCATTAGACAACTTCTTTGTTTTTCTTTAAATCCACGGGCCGAGTGTATTCTATATTTCTGTAAGCCGGGTCTTTACCTGTAAGGGGCTCGCTGCAATGAGCACATGACGTCGCTTTTTTAAAGGTGTGCTCCTGAAAGGAATGTCCCGATGGAACTGAGCCGTTACACTTTGCATTCAGGTTCCTGGGTGACGAAGGTGGTTCGCCGTGTTCTGGGATACGCCCGTTCGGTTCTTTCCCGTCCCCTGCGGACACCTTTCGTTTCGGTAGTCTATAGTCTGTTTGCGCTTCCGCTTCAGAATCCGTTAGCACCTCTGATGTAAATAATTTTAACTGTAGTTGGAATAAAATGTCAAACAATCAGTACTATACGAAAAAGGTGTACAGTATTGCCGACGACAATGGATAGCAATGTCACTGTTACCCAATACAGAAATTCTATGCCGCTGTGACTACGTCCTCAACTTTACGGGGACGGGGATTGATATTTTGATAAAGCCATGTGACAAACACATCGTGATGCATCATGGAATATGAGTATGTAAATAGGTAACTATGGGTGGCGCACGTACATAAACCATTGAAATACTATCCGAACAGACATAACACCAGCTGAACCCACCTGTTCTTTGCATATTGCAAGTTGCGACTTGGCATTTCGTTTGGCTTGTTTTAATTTAAGTATTTCTTCCTTGAGTTCATTGGCTTTCGCATAGTTGTTTGTTTCCAGATAACTTCAGAAAATGAAAACGAGAAATCCCATTCAATGGTTAAATGTAGAACACTTATTTTCATTCCAATTTAGCGACGCTATGAATAGTAATGAGTTGAAATGAATGAAGGCCACGAATCACAGTGGAAGTTGTGAGTAATGCTATGTATGTATAAAATGGTATCCTTAGAATGTTTCGGACTACGATAGCTGGGCGGTCACAAGTGACAACATTATTTCCACGGTACGGTTTATGCAATGACCTAAAATTCACTGACGTGGAAAATCATTTGTATCAAAAGTGTAAATTACTGGTATCAAAAGTGATTATAAATTATACAAGTATTAAAGTGATTGTAATTTACTAGTACCAAAAGTAAATAATGTAAATTACTGGTACCAAAATTTAATATTAAATTAAAAGTATCAACAAATAACTGTAATGTATTAGTAGCAAAGGTGAATGTGAATTACTAGTATCAAATGTGAGTATTGTAATCTACTACTACCATAGTAAACTGTAAATAAATAGTATCAAAAGAACATAGAATAAATCAACTAAATTGTACCAGAAAACTGATAACAGATAATGGAAATTGTAAAACCATCTGTATACTTACTCTTCGTATTTGTTTAATAGAGCTTCCACTGCCTTCTCCGAGTAACTTACTGTAACCTCTAGTTCATTCGCCTATAACAAAACGTTTTGTAGGTCAGATGTCATTCACTGTTCATTACAATTTACAAAACAACACAACCCAACGTAATGAGACTTATGGGCTAGTTGCATGACATTTTAGCAAAATTTACCTATTAGATGAAGTTTTTAAGACCTCTGTCCTGTGATAAACTATAGCGTACAACTGTACATACATTGTACCTCCTATAATCAAATATACCCCCAAAGACATACATTCGCCTTGAACAACGCTACCGTCATGTTTTATACGGGTCCCGCGCGTCTATACAATGCGTGTTTGTAATTATAACGCGCTCTGTACGACGACTGTGGTCAAAAACATCGTTCTTTTGTTTCTTATAACAGGTTTGGCATGTTGTTTATTGTGCGTATACTGCACTGTGGGTTTCGTATATATAATAGAGTTTGTGTCAAGAACTGTCACGGAATTCAGCAGTGTTGAGGTTAATGAATTGACCTCACCTCTTTCTTCAGAACAGAATGTCTTCGTCTCAAAGTGTCCCTAGTATCATCATTGGAGATTAATTCCTCCGTTAGAAATTCCTAAAGTAATTAAATAGATCATATTTTAAACCAGTTTATAATTATCATTTATAAGGATATTGCCCGGGGTACTGGGGAAGTTGATTATTGGTTAGAATAGATGAAACACACTAATGATAATACTACATTACAATTATTTAATATACTTTTATTATGTATCATAACACACGATATAATGTTTTTAAAATGCTTCAGTAGTTTTCAATTGGTGTATTTCTATGGAAACACGACTGTGCTTGTTAATGGGTAAATCAGTTGAAATGTTGTACCAATTGTTATTAAAATAACTATACACTACAAGTTAAAAATAGTTTGAGGAAAATGTTGATGATCTCGAACGATAGTTTGGATATATACTTACAGCTGGAACTCCATGGTCCGGTATAATGTAGTTATAGTAATCCCTGGGTTGGCCTTTCATCGCCCGTCTTATTGCAGTTGGCACCCTGCCACTCTCGTCGTGTTTGTTCACTGCTGAACACATGTCCATGATAGATTCCAGACGTTTTGATCGCTCCTTGGTCTGTCAATTATAGAAGGGGGCTTGGTAAGAAGGAAGGTTTTTCTAACATTAATAATACAGCTTGTTAAATCATTATATCGACTGGTGTGTAAATAAACGCGGCGGGTGGGACGAAGTATGATTTACCGTCTATGTACCCTTGGAGTGTGTGGCCGACATCAGATAGCGTTGATGGGGACAACAGTGAACACAGGCAGTGTACAGTGATAGAGACAAACAATCGAAGGAATCTAATCAAATATAGCGCGTGTATAGCTCGGATTATTTCAGTGCTCAGTCAGGCAAAACCTGCATAATACACGAGCATAAAATTGCAATTTCTACATATGGACTTGCTAATTGCGATCAGTAGAACCTGTATATGCTATGTACAGTTGTTGTGCATTGGACCAGTTAGTTGGCTGACTGCTACAGTGGGCTCCTCGGGTAAAACAGTGTCGCACGCGTTTTTGTTGTCAAATCGGCAACAGAAAACTGGATGAATTGTAATTATATTTAGCCGTATGTGAATGTGCGTAGTTAAGATAAATCCAATAAATTGATTTACTGTTCCAAACAAAATCATCGCTTGAATGTTCTTGTTAAAGACCTCTCCTGCATTTCCACTTCGGTAAAAACATTTTAGCGACATGAAATTCAGGAATTGTCTCTTTTTGCCGGTATTTGCATTGCTACTATACCAGTAGCATCGGACTGGTGTTCGGTTAACATAGTCCGCCGCAGTGGTTGTGCCAGAAACAACAACACTGAAATAGACATAGCGATATGACCTAAATCTAAGGCCCCCAAAATGCATGGATAAATATAACACATGCCCCTCACTTACCTTATTTTTACCGGTCCTGAGCGCCAAACTAAGGCACTGGGCGACACTTTTAGCTAACTGTATATGGAACTCGTCGTGATCCTGTGAAGATATGCGAGACCGTTTGGTGAAGATGTTAAACTGATCTGCCAGATTGAGTGACCTGCTACGTCGTCTCTGATTGGCTCAGGGCGATGATCTAGAATATGCGATAGACGCGCCGGGCATGTCGGACTTTCATTAAAATTCTGAGCGCAACGGCAATTGTTCCGACAATAAAATAATGCCCGAATTTAAAATTAATCAATATTATAATGGTTCTTTTCAAAGTAGCACAGTCAGTGCAGAATGAACGAGTTTTGATGAATGATTTGGTTCCGCATAATCGGGTGATCTCGTGGCGAGTTTTCACAACATTTTTAACTAAGAACAAATTAACTTGCCCTGTGTGTTTGTTTTATTATCCATTAATGCCAGCCATAATGCCGTACTCATACTCTAGCGTGATAAATTCGCACCCTGTCTTGCATTTGATTCATGGTTCCAACACGTGTATACAACGAGGTAATGATACAGACACGAGCTGACAAACAATATAGAAGCCACAATTTACAGACATAATGAGAAAAAATAATCACATTGAATAATTCTCGTAACTAAAATCTAGTAGCACAAATGTTACTACAACAACAAGGACGCCAGTGATTTTACGAAACAAATCCCCGATGACGTCATTAGATCGCCACAAAGCCATCACGTCCGATTGTAAAATGTTAGATTTCTAAGATAAGTTCTCCGGGGAGCGGTGGCACGTATTTCTCAGAGTCAATTTACTAATGTGTCGGCTTCATTGTTACTTATTCATTTAAGCTTGGTTCATTTTGTACTTGACCGACACTGTATTAACCATTTTCCGAGATTTCTGAGATATTAACCGCCTAGTTAAGATTGGTGGTCTTGCTTATTGTCCATGTAAATGTATTCAAACGTTACAAATAGGCGAGCATTACCGAAACCAAAGAAGGCAAAATCCAGGGTATGAACACGATTTTAGTAACCGTGGTGTGGGGGAGGGAGAGGAGTAGTTAGGGTCAATACACCTAAACGTTACTTTTTTCGTAACTAACATTCCCGTCAAATAAACTAGTAGCTAATACTGGTTTCCAAAGTTGAGCTGGTCGGCACTGAAATGTCAACACATCACCCTGTCCTGATATCTCAAAACAGCTCTGGTATAAACAGAATTTATATTTTGAAAAAAAAATAAACACAAATGTGCCGTCATTCACATTCACATACGCTGGACGATAATTTTACCATCTGCGCGTGCGCGCAAATTGACTTACGCTAAGGATTTCGGGAAGCACTAATAGATAATACTTCTTGAGAAAGTGATTGATCGCCGTCAGCTGGAGGAGATATTCGTTATGTGCGTGGTAGCAAGACAGCATCGCAGAGCTCTGAAAAGGAGTGAAAAAAACATTACATAATTGAGATTTTTGAAAGTCCGAAGTGGAATTTAAGGTTATGGCCACATTTACTTTCGATAACAAAGTGATTTTCCGTATTGGTAAATTACGGGAATATTGATGTGTCTACATTGACCCACGGATAGTTTAGATGACTTCAAGGTAATGACAGATATGCGATAAATGTTTCTGGCGTTCTAGTTCGTATGTTGGCTAAAACCAAAGAATATACTTTCATCGTACTCCACAACACTCGGCACTGGGTAATAACGATCTCAATGAACCAATCAATAATTACGAAAGCAAACATGAAATCGAACAATAAATATCTTTATTAATTTAATATGTTAATCTGAGGAATTTATTAATGTGATGAGTACACCAACACGAAATATAACATAACATTAATTAAATTCGCGATCAAATCCTTATTATTAAAGTTTAAATACCATATTTCGAAATGTAGTTTCAAGTGGCAATTAAAACAAGTATCGGTGACAGATGTAATTCGGATAATATCAAAAACTAATAAATATAAACATGTTACAGCTGAAGTTATTCCACGCCTTAAATTAGGTCGTATGTATTATACAATTTTAACGATATGACAAGAGGAGTATTATGTAGATATATTATTGAAAGTAACACTAGACACGATAAAATAATAACTGTCCTATAAAAATAAGTTGTGACATCCGGTCAATAGAATTAGGGGCAACAGGGCAAGGGCGGGAATATGTGCAATAATTGACGAGACGCGGCCGAGTCCATTATTTAAGCGAATACCCCCACCCGAGTCCTTCTCTTACGCAATAATTCTCAGTTGAATTGAATAATCGTTTAGTGATAGCTTGAGAAAGAATTCGACAATACGCGTTATCGTAAGCACTTGTGTTTGCACGTAGACAGTTCACAGGCAAACGACGTGTATTAGATGAAAATAACCAGAATTCTTTTAACGACCAATGAAAATCAGGCAAAACCTCGGACATGAAGTCGCTCGCATTTTTGTTTATGTGTTTGTACGCGGAATTGACTTCATTCAGTGACCAGTTATTGTCTGATAATAGGGCTGCGCGCGCTATCAATCGGCCAATCGGAACGTGACGTTTCAATGTGACGTTTACGCCAAAGTGTGACAGTCGTCGCGCAGGGCAGATTCTAATGTCACGTAAACAATGTATTTTACACGCGCTGTATAGGTCGTATGGTACCTTTATCTAACACGACGCAGTGCGACGACCGTGGCGTTTAACAGGGGGGGGGGGGGTCTCCTGCTCTCCGAAAGTTGTGATTGCAGTTTCAGAGTAAAATTGTTCGGCGACGTTTGTGCAAAACACACTTGGTGGTTACGTCATTTTGCTTAACTTACTTATAATACTTATAAATTGTACTACCAGGATGTAATAAAACGTTAATTGACCGGGGATATCATTCTAACACTTAAGACAAACACCGTAATATATTATCAACTGAACAATATTCAAAATTGCAAAACATCAGAATGAATTACAATCAACCAGAGAGCTTGCAAACTGCTCTGTTCGGGAATTGAAAGTGTATTCGAGAAAATACAATGCACCATGAAGGAATGTAATATATTGTAATTTAATGGTCTATACAGTGCAACATTTTGGCTTATAACGCTTTTAGATCCTACCCTTGATACGCGCTTATGGCATCGCGAGTTAATTTTAACCAGGTTTTATACTAAGGCATTTGACTGTGAATGTGACAGGCACCAACACATTGGTTACATAGTTGGGTCAGGCGCCTAATAAAACGGCGAGATATTGTTCTTATTATGCAGTGTGTTATGATGTTTATAATATACTTTCTGTCCTTTTTTTGTGTTTTTTTTATCTTTATTTTTTCTCATCCCTTCAGGGAAAAGTTATTTTTGTGAATGGTTCCGCCTTTCATAACATAATTGGAAGTAATTGTGTTGTTATTTTAGTCAGGGAGGGTATTTTCATTAAATACTCCTCAATGCCTTGACAACGCGATTGTGTGTGTGGCCCCTGTACTGAATATGAATAAGGGAATTAACGTGTTCTCTTGAGTGGGCGCTGTTATAACGGTTCAGAATATTGAAATGTTGGCCAAGTTTCTAGTATATGACAGTATATTTATGGAACAAAAGACAGTAATTACAACCCACCCAACCATTTTACGTGCTCCGATATTTGCGATAATTGTTATACGTGTTGTTATGGGACCGGTTCGGTGATGTGGTAAAGGGGTCTTACGCCCCTGGCCTCTCCCATGTGACCAATTACTGTGATATTCCAACATTTCGCATTTTCGAATTATTAAAATATAAGTACAACAAGCTGTATAAACATATTTTTTTAAATACAGGTGAATACTAACAGTATCATTAAACCCGCTCAGCCGCTCGCTAAGGTGGATTAGTTTTTTAATGGTTCTGATTAGATTTGCTAGGTTAAAACAATTTTCACGATTACAACAAGGACTCGTATTTTAGCATTTTAAAATGATGTGTTTACCTCACCTTGTTAGCGGGGTCTTTTGACTTGGCCTTGGTCCAATTATCGTGGTATTCTTTTTGACACTACAAGAGAAGTACAATCGTTACAGTAAAACAGAAATTTTACAGTGTTATGAAGTATGATGAATACGTTATGGTGGGGTGCAAGGGATATGTTGTATCACCGAGGGTTAAACATACGGTTACGATGGCGTGTGCCTGCTACAATATAACGTGGGAGATACGTTGAATATCTAGTTGGAGTGTGTAGGTTACGTCACAGCAGTAAGTGATATATACGTTTTGATGGAGTATGACAGATACGTTACTGCGTTTTGAAATGTACGTATACATTACAATGAGGTTGCAAGAAACATATTAAATACAGTATCACAAAGAATGGGGACAATCATAATAATTTAATGAGGTTAAAATTATATTGAAATGAAGTATCGGTGTACAACAATGAACAAAAAATGATAGAAAATACGATTTTGAAATTTAGATATTGTCTCAGCTTGATAGTCGTATGCAGTTGATTAAATACTAAATGTACCATGTCCATCGTTGAAAGCACATGACCTAGTCCCAAGTGACCTTAACGTGTTATTTCCCACGAGGGAAAACCAGCAAAACATTTATATATGCTCGCAACATTGGTGTATAATTAATCACGCGTGATGACCTCGACAATTCTGTTATGCCTTCATCGAAGCACATTCATCTTCGTCTGGTCACTGTTTATTTTTACAGAATTCCGATTTGTTAGGATTATTTGCAATCATTACAAATATTATGAATTATAACACTGACGTGGGTGATATTTCTTTGTGAGTAGTATAACTAGATAATTAGATCATGCGATAATGTGTTTATTTATACACTGTAATACATACAAACAAACACACAAACAAACAAACAACATACGCACCTTTGTTAATGACTCTTTTGTCTTCGTCATTTTGTCTTCGAATTCTTCTTGATAATTTGTAAGTTTCTTAATAATTTGCTTCTGTTGGTTGCCACAGTCTTGGAGAGGTATTACCAAATACTCTGTAAATGCTTTCGCTAACGCACTGTTTGCCTGCCACGTGAATAACATTTACATTACTTGAAAATGTCTAAATTTTCAATACTATGTTTATTCTGTACAACTAGTCCGTTTTCAATTCATTTTTATAATGTTATACTATTCTGTCAGTCAATTATGAACAAATTACGAATGTAACACATCTATATGCTTATTGCTGAGAATGACTCTCCTTGATATAAAATATTCATATAATATTTTGTTTAGAAGGATATCGATAACGCTTAATAACGCCGAGAAAGGCCTTCATAATATGTTTAAAAGCTCAACAGTACAATGCACATGCCCTTGAAAACAGATCATTGGGTATGATAATAAAATATTCAAGAATCCGATCGGAAAGAAACACACTTCATTCCTTTATTTCTTGTAAATATTTCTAAATACCTAAATATATAAACGTATCAAGTTAATATATACTTTTTAAGTGGCCGTCGAGTTATAGTAAAGCAGTTGATATCGCAGATTGGAACCACTGTGTACGTGACACACAGGCATTTGGCGAGTCAATGCAAAACTCCCTACGAGATCGTGCCTGATATGCTATACAATCCTAACGTCTAACAGTTAGACCAATCAGAGAACAGCTTCTATATTGACAGATTGTTTTGACGTATCAAAATCAGACTCACTTGGTCCCAACAAAGTGCTATCATATAATAATAAACTAAACTTATAATATCGATATATACTATTAACTATCATTATGAATATATTAAAATCATAATCAGTATAAAAGTGCATGTAATTAAATACACATTACCGCAAGAAAATGTATTCGATTAGCTTATTAGTTTCACACGCGGCTCACACTCAATTTAAACCTGTTTGATACTCCACTAACATATTCAAGTTCAACATTGATTAAATTAATGTAATTAATGTAAAGACATACTTCATCAATTACACATTCATGGCGGGTTCACATCGAGGTTGGCCGACGAAATCTTCTACTATGGTAAATAACCATCATAGTTTCAGATGTACCGCAGTTAGAAATCCGTTGATTTAAACCAAGAGACAGTTAGTAGACTGGTGGTCGACAGTAATGACTTCGACGGCGTGGATGATGTAGGCAAGGACACATATACACGAGCATACATGTATAAACACGTCGAGATTCGACAGACGCGCATCTCATAATGCTACTCTAACTAATATACAACTTAAAATAGCGTGCTATGATCGGGGACGCACAGTGACTGGGTGGACAGGTTTATTACGGAAATGAACTCACCTCGGCTTCGTTTTCTGTGTCTTGTAATATAGTTTTCCAAATCGATCCTAACAGGGCTGGTGCTTCATCTTCCCTACGTACATGTGATTAAATAAATCTTTTAGGCCACAAGTTGAGAATATTCAAGGAACGAATATATGGCAATTATGGAATTTTATTCAAAGTACAATTAAAACAACGACAATAACAACAACAAGCACCATACAAATTATGATAAATTCTGACCTATTTTCTTTTGTAAGTACATCATTCGTTTTCTTTCGGAATGTGTCGGATGCTGTACGGAGACTGTTTGCGTGTTGGTCGTATATTGAAGCTAGTTTCTGCGAGAATTCCACCACTGTAAAATAATAAAAGAGAATGTGTTTATTTCTTTAACTTAATGCATAAATCATAAATTAGAATAATAATTATATAAGATAAAATACTTATTACATTCTTATAATATATGTATTTTCACCCAATATTTGTGTTGGTAGATTCACTGGCAAGATCAATATTCGCCATTCGATAAGATTATTTTTCCACATGGTCCAATATAGCCATTATGAGCAAACGTACTGTGTGCTGCGTTATATTTCTGTTACCTAAGCTTTCTTGTTTTTAATAAAAACAAATTGGCATAAAGTCAAGATTAACTGAAAGTTGAAACGCCTTCTTTTCTGCTGCTTTTACCAATTCAACTGATCATCTATTTCTTGTGATATAATCGTATTTATTGTTATTATAGCAACTGCATACGACTGTCAAGCGCCAAAGAGTTATTTTATTGTTACACTCCTTGGCCTGTATTCCAGTCAGAATGGAATAGGTAACATTATTGCAATTTATATAGGTTAACGCTTGACATTAACTGGGGTTGACTGATCCACACGAAGAAGACGTAGTAATTTCTCTTTTAATATACAAGCAATTCCACTTTTATTTTCTAAAACTAAGATGGTATTTACAATTCATACATCCTTCGCTGTGTTGATACAAAACAGTTTTTTCTCGGTATTTATTTCAAGGTCATTCAAATACCTCACCACTGAATTTGAAAATTACTATGTGATATTATTTACTCTATAATAAGGCCATTAGAACTTCTATTATTAAAATCATCACGTATTTAAGAAACACTTCTGTGTACCGTGAAATGAAACTAAAAGGAGACTTGGCAAAAAATTGTAGGCGTGCATGCATTTTTTGATTGTTTTGAATCACAAGAATGACAAGAGCTTTTATCAATATACTGGTTTTCATTCTATCTTTTGTGGTACTACAATATACCGACGTGGCCATACATTTGGTAAAGTTTGCAGCACAATCAATGTGAATTAGAAACAGTTGTTTGCCGCCGTATATGCGATTCTCGCCTTTGATAAACGTGGGATTGCGTTTCACAGTTAACTGCTTCTGTGTTGTTAATGGATGGCCCGATACACACACGCCGCACTGTGGTATGTTGGTCTTACACATGACACTGTATTTACATTGATTGCACTGTATGCTGTCGCAGTATTATTGTAACCTAATTATGCCACGTGCACCACAAGGGGTTAGCAAACTGTTTTTGTCCGTCACCGAGCGATGATTCATCGTTGTGTCTGTATTTCGTCCGTGAGTTGACAGTGAATTAACAGATTGACTTTGAAATACCTAAACTTGGACGTTAGTCGGCCATACATTTCGATGACTTGGAAAATCGCTTTATAACTTTACTAATTATCATTATGCTTATCTTCGTACGTTGCAGACTGCAATGGAATCTTGTTCAAAGAATATTCTAGACTATATGTTTCAATAAAAAAAATGTTCAATTCGATACAAACATTAATTAGTTATCTTTTAGGTCTGACAGCATATTTGTCGAGTTTTGGACACATACTTGTTTTCAGAAGAGTATCAGTTTTCTAATAAAAAGGGAATAAAATATTGCATTGTGAAAAGCATCCAATATTTGGAATGACTATGTCTGCGTGAAAGTTGTAAATGAAAACCTTCTGTTTTGATTCGTCACACTCTGTGAGACTGTGAATACATTTTACAAGGTTCAGCGATTATTGAATGTTGAATGATTTTTTTGTAAAAAAATATGTTTAATTGAGTCAAGTCCCCTAAAACATACATTTTTAGTCGTACTTAACATTCGTATGAAATACTTTTACACAGTCAATACAGTCAGAAATTTACAACATTTCTTAATATGTGCATTTACATTCCCATTTTTGTTGGCAGTAACATATTCAGTCTTCTGAATATTTTGAACATAAAGTTTATGATGTTGGAAACATGGAATTTTTCCAATACATTTGCAGATATAAATAAAACTTTAGCTAATACTACTAATAAAAAAAATACGCAACGATGGCTCATGTGGGTCTCCATCGCTCAGAAAATGTCTCCCAAAACAACTGAACAAGAGGACGAGTATCATAAGTTGCATAATAGTTTTTGATGATCATATCTTATCTAGTTTTTACATTTTTCATCATTAAATCGTGGTTCAATTTCTATTGACATTCCCTCCAATTTGTGAGTATTGTTATTTTGAATAATGTTGAATTGTAGATCGCAGGGGAGCGTAGGGGAATAACACTTTGTGAAACAATGCCCTTAAAAACTGTTTCGCTGTACATTGATTTAAGTGAATCAACAAAATTTACCCCAATTATCTGTTCCTGTCCCAAAATATCAAAATATATTTTATTTTTGCATTACTGTTTAACCCTAAACGTACTGCTGATGTAATGCCGTATCATTTCAAAACATGTTCTTCGCGGTCCCTTTGTGAACAATTTAATATAAAACCTTTATTGAAAAGTTTCTTCATATAGCGAGTCCCAGCGTCGTCAAATTCAAATTGTAATACAAAACTGTTATCAGCAATAATAAGAGTTTTGTTATTCCATATTATTTGATTCAGTATATGTACTTCTGGGGAGTAGTCCCTCACCGACTGCCAGGTTTTCAGCATACTGTGGTGGAAGCTGTTAAGTTGTAACGGCAACATGTTAATGTCAAAATTACTTTTCAAAAGTTAGCTCAATATTTCCCACTTTCACTAAAGTATTATTTCAAACAAAACTTCAACGGATGAGATAAGGTTTAAGACATCCATTTCATACACCGGGCTTAACATATGACCTCCCCACAAAAAACTAAAATTATTTATTGTACGAAATGTAGCTAGATACCCCAAATTGACAAACTGATGTGTGGGGGTTCATATTTTCTAAGTTGCCTCACAATCTGACCTTTTTATCTATTTACTACTAACACTGAGATTATTTTAAAGTGTTCAAGATTCTCAAACAGGCGATGACATGAGAGTACATCCTTTAAATGCCGGGCACTTCCTATCTTTAATATTCCGATCACTCACTAAACTCAATGCTTTTAAGCGGTGGTCCGTGTGAGTGTGTATTTTCAATCAACAATCATGAAATTAGTCATTTCTTGTTGGTTGGGGTGATTTATTATTAGCTAGAATTTCAGTTTTCGTGCAATCAAAGAACGCCATGATACGAGAATTATATAATATCACAACGTGTGAAAATATTATAATGTTGACTTCAACTGACCGAACTTCTAGTGTTCTAGTTACAGGCAAAAGTAGAGTTGAGCAGAGACACATGTCGATGTTCGTGAGAAGTAACGAACTGATGTTTCGCTTCACTGACCAACAAATATTATTATTGGTACCTTGAGCATTAGCTAATTTGCTGCCCAGACATTTGGCGACATCAAAGGCGGCTAACATCAATACTGCTACAAGTACTTTCTAATATGTGTTAGATACTTCCAACATTAATTATTCATCAATTACAAACAAACACAATTATATTAATTGCAATATATTAAGTCGAGCCAATCGGTTTAAAAACTCGAATCAATGTGTTCTAAATTTAAATTTTCTTTGGTACATACAAAATATGACGTTCCCATCTTCCTGTTAAAGTTGTACCAATATCCTTTTTTTTCAAAATTGTTCTTCCCATGATTGTCAGAAACAAATATATGCACAATAAATGCCAACACCGTTAAATCAACATGAAAGTATGCTGTTTTAGTGAACAGAATCTGAAAGGGCCTATACAGTGACCCAATATCATATTCCTGTTTATGCGTGTGTAGCATCTCTAGACAACAAACTAATAGCTAAAATTAGTAGGACTAACACGAAATTGTACGATTAACATACTTGGAGGTCTTTAACCACCGGTTATATATACAGGACGTGATTTGTCAACCAATCTGTAGGAACATTTAAGACGCAGTTTATATTTCTGACAAATGGTTTTGAGCAAGGACTAATTGGTTGGCAGTAAAGCTTCTAAACGCAGACGGCTGCCATTAGTTACTATTTTTAAAATGGAATGTATAGCGCAGTGTATTGTGATCGGTGCTAAATAACGTTGTCTGAATTCAAATTTACAATTCATATCCGCTCCATGTTTAGACATAAATAATCGAGAGTACGACAAGGGGGCGAAACATAGTGTGTAAGACTGTCCACGGTTAATTAAAAAGACGGTTAGGAAACGAACCACGTTCTTTTTAGTAAACGTGAACTGTTTGACCAAGTTGTCTAGCTCCATATTTCGAGATGATATTCATCTATTCTCTTGATATTTTAATATGTATAGCAGGTGGAATAGTCATGTAAAACTTCTACACACAAATTGCGTCATTTGATTTTAGTGTTCTTTCAGAGTGCATGTAACTAGCAAGCCGTCGATTATAACACATTGCCACAGAAGGAATATCTCAGAGTTTGCATATGTAAATAAAGTACACTTGATTGGTGATTGGATTTTGGATTATCGAACATTGCAAATGGATAACACAAAATATAACCCAATAATCAAAGGCAGCCATGCGGAAGAATACCTGCATACGTCATCAATCCGAATTGATTATATATAGCACAGTGCGAGCTTATCGGTGATTTGAATCAAATATTTGCATTATATATAAGTAGTGCGGCTTACCGTTGATAAGAATGCAAGGGAGTTAAATCCAATATGATTGTGTTGAGAGTCAATGTTATAAAGTGTCCAGACACGTGATATATATATAAATAAATAACACAAATCCACAGTAATTAAACAAGATAACCAAATTATTTATATTGGATGAACGTTTAAAAAATTACTTTATTTATAAAGCTTAGTACATACTCAATAAATTATTTATATATACATTAGTAAGATTATATATAAATATATAATGTTGTTGTGTTCAGTGTCACAGCAAATTTTAATAAGCGACCTATCGGAATGGTAGTTTTCAAATACACAGTTAAAAAGAATACACAAAAGAATATTAGGAAATAAAATTTGGGAGATAACTATA